TTTTTTTTTTTTTTTTTTTTTTTTTTTTTTTTTTTTTGGTACCAGGGATTGAACTCAGGAATTTCTGCTTGCAAGGAAGGCAGCAGCACCGCTGAGCTAAATTCCCAGCCCTCCCTGTCTAAACAGACACATGCAGCTGTGAGGCTCTGTGTGAGACACTGTGAGTTAGCGCGTTTTCAGTGCCAGCTCGCATGCACAGCCTTAACGCCAACCTCTGGTTATTCTCCCCTCTCCGCCATACCCGGTTAGGTGGAGGTGGCCTGGTGGAGGTGTACCTTCTAGATACCAGCATCCAGAGCGGCCATCGGGAAATCCAGGGCAGAGTCACGGTCACCGACTTTGAGAGTGTGCCCGAGGAGGATGGGACACGTTTCCACAGACAGGTGTGCCGCCCTCCTGCACCCGTCCTGGGCCTCTGGGCTGCACCCCCGGCTGTCCCTGCCCCTGCCTGGCGGTCAGTTGTGGGGTGGGGGTGTCAGTCCATCCACCCCTTGTGGATATGTCATAAGATGGGGGCGCTTTTCTCACGGGGTCCTTGTGTTGCTTGAGCAGGCGAGCAAATGTGACAGCCACGGCACCCACCTGGCTGGTGTGGTCAGCGGCCGGGATGCAGGTGTGGCCAAGGGTGCCAGCCTGCGCAGCCTGCGTGTGCTCAACTGCCAAGGGAAGGGCACGGTCAGCATCACCCTCATAGGTGAGTGGGGCCTTGCAGGGAGAGGCTGAAGCCCAGGGAGCCCCAGTGCCCCTGGACTGGGGAGCAGAGGGGACCTTGGCCCACACTTCACAGGGCTAGAGCTGGCAGGGGTCAGGAGTGGACAGGGAGAAACACGCTCCGAAGGTAAGGGGCTCAGGCCAGGCTCTGCACGACCCCATGGTGTTCCCCTCTCCAATTCCTGTAAAAGTTCTGTCTTCTTGGGCCTGGGTGCATGCCTGTAATTCTAGGAGGATCGCCATGAGTTCGAGGCCAGCCTGGGCTACATAGTGAGTTCAAAGTCGGCCTGAACTACATCGGGAGATCTTATCACAACAACAAAATAAACACAAAGCTCCATCTTCCATTGTGCTGTCTTAGATTGGATAGACCCGAGGTGATCTCAGCAAGCTTTCTTCAGCTCCTGTTTGCTCACATCTCAAGCCAGGAGAGCCACGGCTGGCTTGTCTGCCCCTGTGGCTGTGCAGACTTGTTAGAGGCGCAGACAACAGACTTTTGTCAGACTCTGCAGGGGAAGCCATCTAGTCTGCCGGGTGGGCATCCAAGAGGTGGCACTCGGAGCTAGGACAGTGGCCTGGGACAGAGAAGAGGGAGGTGCCCTGGCTCACCACATCCCGCTGTGGCCAGACATCAAGTGAAGGGCTTGTACACCTCAACCCTGGGCCAGCATGGGGCACCTGTTAAAACAGCTGGTAAAACTGGCCAGAGAGGGTGCCCGCCCAGAGAGGGTGTCCAGCTGGAGCCGGCTCTGGGGAATGGCCAGACCCCCATAGTGAGCCCTGAGCCAGTGAAAGACACTGGCTCCCACATGGCCCTTAAAGCTTTGAAGACCCAGGGGCCACCTGAGCACCACGCCCAGCCCAGGACCCTCCTGCTGGGGTGAAGGGCCCGGGAGGGAGGTGAAGGATGTTGAAGGCTGGCATGGTCATCGAATTCTTTCCTCGGGAGCTCAGCCTTTTTTCTTTAGGCTCTGACTGGTGAATGAGGGCCACCTGTGTTCTGGAGCCCATCAGCTTAGAGTAGATGAGGTGCACAGAAAAGCGCCCTGCCAGCAGCACCTACACTGGGGGTGGCCACCCTCGGGCACCACCATCTGTGCCAACAAGGAAGGGGCTGCAGGGGGAAGTGTGTCTCTGGGAGGTGACTTGGCTCTGTCCTCCCAGGCCTGGAGTTCATTCGGAAAAGCCAGCTGGCCCAGCCTGTGGGTCCACTGGTGGTGCTCCTGCCCCTGGCTGGGGGGTACAGCCGCACCCTCAATGCTGCCTGCCGCCACCTGGCGAGGGCCGGGGTGGTGCTGGTCGCTGCGGCTGGCAACTTCCAGGATGACGCCTGCCTCTACTCCCCAGCCTCGGCTCCAGAGGTGGGTGCCAGGGTGCTGCCCCATGGTGAGGGGTGCGGGGACCTGTGGGCCTGGCCACTGTCCCTCCTGAAGGTCGGTCTTCTGCATCCCCTGCCCCAGGCTGGGAATCTGAGGCCTACCCCAGCCTGGTCAAGGGGATTGATGGCACCCTGAGCTCTCTGCCATCTTCCTGCCTCTTCTCCAGGCCATCCAGGAACCCCTGGAGCTTGGCCTAAGGCACAGCCAACTTACCCCATCCTGCCCCATCTTCGGGCCCCATCCTGCAGCTCCTGCCCTGAGCTCATCACCAGCATGGCAAGGAGACCACAGGGGACAAAGCCTGGGGAGGCATCACAGTGGGCACCACATCCTCACCTGTGTCGGGCCATTTGGGTGTGGGCTGTCCTGGCCAGCTCGAAGCCTGGCAAGGTGGCACGGGTAGCAGATGTAGTCCTGGCTGTGTGACCTGGCCTGGAAGAGGCTTCCCCAGCTGCCCCGTGTAAGATGGGTGTGTAGGAGTTGGCCAGCATGGCTGGCGAGGTCTGTCTGTCCCTGAAGCCTTCCCTCACTCCCTTCTCTGCCACCCACCTCCTCACCTTGCCAGGTCATCACAGTTGGGGCCACCAATGCTCAGGACCAGCCAGTGACACTGGGGACCTTGGGGACCAACTTCGGCCGCTGTGTGGACCTCTTTGCCCCGGGGGAGGACATTATCGGCGCCTCTAGCGACTGCAGCACCTGCTTTATGTCACAGAGTGGAACGTCGCAGGCTGCTGCCCATGTAGCTGGTGAGTCACCCAGTCCCTGCCGCCATGACTCTCACACCCCGTGGGCTGACAGGGTCTGTGCCAGGATGCGCATGCGCGGGCTGCGCTGGGGCGGGCAGGAGCAGCTGCGAGAGCACCGCTTGGGTCAGCTTGCCTTCCCTCTGCCGGAACCGGAACTGAACGTGGAGTGAGCGGAGGCAGTGGGGGAGGGGAGGGTAGGGGAGCTGGTGTCCCTGTGACCTGACTTCTTTACTACTGGACCTTTGGCGGACACTTGAGAGCCAGACCATAGCGGTGCGAACACAGAGATGGAGAGGCAGGCACTTGAACGGAAGGAGCTTGAGCAGCCAGGGCTTCATCATCAGGAGCCCAGAGGAGGCACCAGCACAGTCGGAGGGGCAGAGAAGGCTTCTTAGAGGAGGGACACTTGATCTAGGCATGGAGGGATGAATAGAAGTTCACTTGTAAATACTACGGCCCAGCTGGAGGAGCAGGATGTTTTAATAGCTGGCTTTGCCTCAGCAAGAAACCACAGTGGTCTCGCTCCTGGAAGAGCCTCCACCTCTGACCACCCCCTCCCGCCTCAGGCATCGCAGCCATGATGCTGACGGCGGAGCCCGAGCTCACGCTGGCCGAGCTGCGGCAGAGACTGATCCACTTCTCTGCCAAAGACGTCATCAACGTGGCCTGGTTCCCTGAGGACCAGAGGGTGCTGACGCCCAACCTGGTGGCCAGGCTGCCCTCCAGCACCCATGGCGTGGGTGAGCAGGGTGGCGGGGTGGGCGGCCTACCTGTGAGGGGGGTGCCGCACCTCCAGGAGGCTCCGCGGCTGGGGGCGGTCAGCACGTTCCCTGCAGGGAGTGAGGCTTCGTCCCCAGCAGGCTCTGAGCCCTTCCAGGGTCCCTGGGCTGCCCAGCCCGCTCCCTCCTCACCCTGGGCCTCCCTCGTTGCAGTGGGGCAGCTGCTTTGCAGGACGGTGTGGTCAGCACACTCGGGACCCACACGCACGGCCACTGCTGTGGCCCACTGCACCCCCGGCGAGGAGCTACTGAGCTGCTCCAGTTTCTCCCGGAGCGGGAAGCGGAGGGGCGAGCGCATCGAGGTGACCTGCCCTGTGTGTCTGTGTGGGATGTGGGCTCCTGGCCTGGGCCACAGCCCAGCTCTGGGTGCTGCGCCCAGGGGCTGCTGGGGAAGCCATGCTCAGAGACCCCGGGACAGAGGTGCCTGCCTAGCATGGGACAGCATGGATCGGGGCCCTTTCCACTCAGTCAGCCTGTGGTCCTGGGGGTGGCAACTCCCATGCCAGCAGAAAGGCTGGTGTCGGTGCCGCAGGGGATATGGCCGCTGTCTGCTGCGTTGGGGTGGACGCAATGGCCTCAGGCACTTCTGCCCCTGAGTGCAGGGTTGGTTTGTGGCGGAGCGGGACCAGGCCTTGTACCCTTGGTCTGGATTCCCCTCTGTCACGGTATCTGGAAGAACTTCAGGAAACAGAGCTGCCCACTGGCAGAACAGTGTGCCCAGGGGGGCGCGTGCTCCTCGTCCCCAGAGGGCTGGGAGCAGAGACACTGGTGAGGGTTCAGGGCCCCCTGCATGCCTGCATCCCGGTAAAGCAGGTTCTGGTCTCTGTCTCTGGCCCCAGGTCCGCGGGGACAGGCGGGTGTGCCTGGCCCACAATGCATTTGGAGGCGAGGGCGTCTATGCTGTGGCCAGATGCTGCCTGCTGCCCTGGGCCAACTGCAGCATCCATACGGCTCCAGCGGGGGCTTGGACGGAACCCAGTGTTCACTGCCAGCAGCAGGACCACGTCCTCACAGGTAGGGGCCAGGCCTGCTCCTGACACCCAGCCCAGTGGGCGTGGTACATGTGGGTGATTGGCATACTCTGGAGCCTGCGTGTCCATTCAAGCCTGGGGTTGGCACTTCCATGCCAGGAACCGTAGGTGGTTGGCTTTGCCTTTCCCTGTCTTGGCTTCCTCTGACTAAGAGGGACTGAGGTAGAACTTGCCTTGGATGGTGGCACCTAAAATCCAGGCTTGGGGTACTGGATAGGCCTCACCGGGGCGGGGAGGGAAGGACGGGCTCTGAGGCTGTGTCCGCAGTGGGGCAGACCTCGGGTTGAGCCCACTCAGCAGCTGAGTGCTTTTCTTAACAGGTGCATGCCTCGGTTCCCTCCCTGTCTGCGAAACGGGGAGGATGAGTGCTAAGCCTTTAGCTGGGTGCTGGACAGTATACAGCCCAGCTCTTACTACCATCAGCACTGACTGCTTTAACGTCCATTTCCTGGTCTGAATGAGCCACTCTGTTGAAAGTATGCCCTGACAGATGGCAGGAAATTCCCCCCGAGGAGCAGGGTGGTGGCCTCGGGTCGCAGGAGGCTGGTGGAGCGTGAGTGCCCCGGGAGGGTCTGGAGATGGCGGAGAGCCATGAATGGTTCAGGGACAGAAGGTACAGCTTGGGACCTGGAATAGCAGGCTGGTGTGCTGGCTGGGTTTGAGTGGAGGAGCCAGGCACGTGCTGTTGCCCTTGGTCAGGCAGGGACTCCACTGTGCCCAGGCCTGCCTTCGGTCAGCATCCTGGCCCCTTGGGCACACCCAGCAGAAGGCCCAGGGCCTGGGCCACCTTGACATTGTGAGAGCCATAGACAGTCACTACCTGTAGGCACAGCCCAAAGCGTTGCTTTGCAGCTACAGGGCCTGTGACCTGGGTGCACCGACTGGCTTTCCCAGGGCTGTGAGAGCCATAGGAGCCAGGGCCCTATGATCGGTCACAGACAGTGCTGAGACTTCATGTCGGTGTGTCTGTGTTTCACCGTTGCAGCATCCTGTGGGCAGGTGATATTACTCTCACCATTTCACAGATGGGGAGACCGAGGCTCAGTACGGCTGAGTGACCACTGTCCATGGTTTTGCACCAGTGGGTGTGTCAGACTTCAAGCTCATGGAGGCAGTGCCCCGGCTCATGCCTGAACTCTGCCTGGTGGCCAGAGGGGGCAGGAGCCTGGGAGGCTTTGAGTCTCAGCCCTTGGAGCCCTCTCTCATGGCTCTGATCTAAGTGGCAAAGAGACCATATTTTTACTGAGCTAAGGTTCAGAGAGGTTGAATGACTTCCCCAAGATCACACAGCAGGTCATCAGCAGAGTAGAGGTGAGAACCCAGGAATCCTGCCTCAGGCCGGTCTGCCTTTCTTTCCTGAGCTGTTCCTAGGTATCTCCAAGCTCAGGCCTTACAGATATGGGGGCATAAAGTGGATCCCCAGCATTCCCGTGACTGAGCTGACCCTCCTCTACCCAGGCTGCAGTGCCCACTGGGAGGCTGAGGATTTTGGTGCCCGCAGTCAGCCTGTGCCAAGGCCACGTGGACCTGGCCAGTGTGTGGGCCCCAGGGAGGCCAGCGTGCATGCGTCGTGCTGCGAGGCCCCAGGCCTGGAGTGCAGAGTCAGGGAGCATGGGGCCCCACCCCCTGTGGAGCAGGTGAGAAGTGGGCCGGGTATGTGAATCTGTCCCTCACTCTTTGGGGTCGGTGTTTGTGCCACCACGACAGTGGCACACATCAGGGTGGGGCGCTGGGATGCAGGCCACATTCATGAGAGGCATGGCCAGACCCTGCTGCCCATAGAGAACTCGGTAAACATGGTGCGCAGAAATGCCAGGCCTGCTAGAGGTTGCTGAGGGCCAGGAGCTCAGCTGCACTCTGAGGGTGCAGAGGTGACACAGCCATGACGCGAGGGAGGGGACACTGAGGGCAGGGAGGCCCTGCCTGGAGGGCAAGGATGCGTGGGGAGGCAGAGTAGGAGAGCCCGGCCAGCCCCACTGCATCCTGGAGCCCCGGGGTGCACTCGCATGGTGAGGGCTCACAAGTAGGGGCCACGCACGGAGCATGTTCTGCCCCCACTCCCCAGCACCTCTTCTGGTTCTACAGTGCTGAAAAGATGCCTTGGAGGATGGTGAAGCAGGCAAGGGAACGGGAGGAGGGCTAGGAGAGGCCTCACTGAGACGGGAAGGATGACAAGCCAGGGGACATCACAGGGAACACTTTCAGGCAGAAGGAACAGCTGAGCAAAAGTGGGAGTGTGGGCCAGGCACAGGGGTGTACATCTGTAATCCCAGCACTCTGGGAGGCTGAGGCAGGAGGATCACATGTGTGAGCTCAGCCCATATAACTGAGCAACTTATTGAGACCTTATTTCAAAATAAAAATAAAAAGGGCTGGGGATCCCTGGACTTGATCCCCAGCACTGTGATCAAGAGGACAGAGAAGCAGGAGCAGTTAGTAAGGAGGGGTGGCCTAGCGAGGGTCAGGGCCAGGTCAGTAGGTCCCGAGGGCCACAGGGCTGACTGTGGGTTTTGCTGGGTGGGTTGGAGGCTGGGGTGTGTGGGAGCACAAGCAAGGTTAACTCTGGAACTGAGCTGAGGCTGCAGGGGAGACAGGCAGCAGCAGGGCCGCTGGACAGGGTCCCTGTGCTGGTGCAGGCTGGGGCGAGCATGTGAGGGAGGCGCTGGGATGCGGTGGGTGGGTGGGGAAGGAGAGGACGGCTGGGCTGAGGTGTTTCTATGTGGCTGGCCTGGCGTGGGAGGGTTTGAAGCACAGTGTGGGTTGGTGTTGGGCATGGGCCACTGGGTGTGGCCTCGAGGGTCGTCGGGCGGAGGTGGAGTCTGGGCAGTATAGACCTGTGCTGTCTTCTCCCTGGCTCTGGCAGGTCACCGTGGCCTGTGAGGACGGCTGGACCCTCACGGGCTGCAGCACCCTCCCTGGAGCCTCTCTGGTCCTTGGGGCATACGCCGTGGACAACACATGTGTGGTGAGGAGCTGTGACACCAAGGCAGTGGGCAGGGCCAGTGAGGCGGCCATGGTGGCCATTGCCACTGCCATCTGCTGCCGGAGCCGGGCCTCGGAGCAGGCCTCCCTGGAGCACCAGTGACAGCCCAGCCAGGATGGGCAGCCGTGCGGGGCCAGGGCCTGGGCCACAGGGGCAGAAGCGTTCCTGCCTGGTGCTGCCTGGCGCTGCCAGGCCTCCTTGCCTGGGAAAACCTTAGGGTCTCGCCTGGACGCCATCCTGCGCTGCAGCTCGCCCCATCCTCCCATGCCCACCTCCGCGTCACGGCAGGGGAAGCCATGCTCTGCCTACCAGCGTCCCCATGTTGCTGCCCACAGTGGATGACCTATGTCTGAGCTCTCAAGGCACGCAGGCAAGCCTCCCTGTGAGATACCTTCTCCCTGCAGGATGATGTGGGGGCTGGAAGGGGCTGAGCACCAAGCCTGGCAGCGAGGGCAAGGAGCTGGTGGCCCTATATCCCCTCCCACTTCAGAGAAGCCCCTTTGGGATCCCTGGTTGATGGGAAATCCATTTGCCACACCTGTGGGGTGAGGCTTGGGACGAGCACGATGCCTCGGTTTCTCCCAGCTGCCCTCACTCTGCTCTCTGCATGGCAGCCCTGGCACTCTACTTGATAGAGGAAGAAATGGGCACCAGAGAAGGCAGGTGCCCACCAGTGTACACTGTATGAAGTGGGATGGTGCTGGGATGTGCCAGGCCAGGCACTGGCTTGCAGGTTCCCTGGGCCCAGGTGGCTCCTGACAGCTTGGTGGGCTGTGGAAGGGTACAACTGTCCCTTCCCGAGTGCTCGCCCAAGCGAGTGTACAAGCACACGTCTTCCTCCTGGTTTCTTCTGTCTGCTGTCTTTTTATAGCAAGAAGCTTTTCCAGACCTGTTGGGCTTTTGTAAGTTGGTATTTATTCTGGGTTTTGTAGTATTTTTATTATGTGACTTTTAAAAATAAAAGTAACTTCGTCATGACCTGGCCTGGACTTTAGTGCCTAGGTGGACACTGCAGCAGGGAGTGGGTGGTGGTGGGGTGACAAGCCTTGGACGAGCCTGGAGCAGGAACTTGCTGTGTGCGCTCTGCCTAGGAACCCAGTGGCCTCAGCCCCAGCCCCAGCTTCCTGAACCCATTGGTGGATTCACCTGAACAGGGTGCCCTCCCATCCTTTCCCTGCAGCAGGCTCAGGCCATAGAGTGGATGTCTGTGGGCCCAGTCACCACTGCTTCTGTAAGGGACGGAACTTGTGCACAGCTGCTGTTTGTGGTTGGACAGGAGTCATCTCAGATTCCTGACAGGTTTGTGGACTATCCTACTTGGAGTGGGACCTCTGGCTCCTTCTTGGGGCACAGTATGTCATAAGCAAGGTCTGTCTCTACACAGCCCATGTCCCATATAAGGGATCTACCACAAAGGCAAAAACCTTTCTGAACTTTGTTTTCTGACAATTTGTGTCAGGTGTGGGAACATGCTCATGGCCCTCTGGCCCCACACCTGCTGTGCCATCCAGACCCCTGCCCTCCCTAGGAGATGCTGTCACCTGTCCAGGGGTTAGATACGCACATTCCGACAGCTGTCACTTGGGAGGAAGGGACAGCTTGATTTCTCACATGGTTATCTGGCATGTGCTTCTTGCTTTTCTGTAACTCAGCTATATTATGTTAGAAGTCTGACAGAAGCTTTACATAACTCAAATGAGCAGGTCAGATAGCAGAGTTGGGCTAGCATGGCTCCTTTGCTAATGGCTGCTACTGAGACTTAAGTCCTAGTCCTAAAATAGCAGGGCTCGGCCGGCCAAGTTCACTTCCAGCCAAGGTCAATCTGGCTCCAACCAAATCCCTGCCTGATTTATGGCTTCTCACTGACCTGATGAGTTGCTGGTTAATTGTAACCTAGTATCGGCACCCTTTCATCTCCAAACAAGACAAGCAGTGCCTTCCCCCTTTACCTCCCCTGCTTGCGTATTAGCTATCTCTATCAGCCATCACCAGATGCTTCCAGACTCTTCACATTGCTGCTAAATGTCTTTAAAGCATACCCTTACCTTCCCATGCTTGTAGTCAATAAAATACTGGGTGCCTTTGGCACCCCTTATCTTTGGGGCCCAGAGTAGCTCAGATCAGCCCATGACCCAGTTTCTTGTCTTTATTCTTGTCAGCATGTGTTGTAGTGCCTCACAGGAGACTGCAGACTTACTGCAGAGGTGTACAGTAATGTCCCCTGTTCCCTACAGTCACCAGGCACTGGCAGAAAGGGCTTCAAATGTAGGAAAAGGGAGACCCGGAGTAGCATGTGGGAAGGGACCCACATAAAAAAAACAGGCCACAAGATCTAGAATATGACTTAGGATGGGGAGGGCCACTTTGGGAGAGGTGGAAGCTATACGAGAAATGTCTCTAGGCCAGGATCAAGGTCAGCATCTTTGACTACACTCCACCAATGAGTCCTGAAATGCAATCAGTGAAGTCTCAGGAGACCCATGGCCCTGCCAAGAATCACACAGCCAGTTGGTGCCAGGCCTCAGGCCCAGCATGCCCCCATCAATGGCCAAATTCTGACATCTGGAGAAAAATGTTGGTGAGACTCCAACTTTATATATTTTTGAAAAATTTATTTTGTACTTTGGAAGCCAAGAACTCTGCCACACATGAACCAAATTTAGAATTAAGATTCTTTCCTAGTTTATCTACTTTCTTTTGAAATTTAATAAACAAGATTTTGTACACAAAGAGGTAGCAGAGGACAATTCCAGTCTGCTTGTTCCAAGCTCAGAGGGTACTACACACGCCTTGATGTCAGCAGGGAGGGCAGGGCAAACCAGGGAGTGAGGGCTCGGCGCTCTAGGTCCTAGACTTAGGCTATAGCTGCCAGTGGCTGCACAAGTCCACAGGAGCGTCTTGGGTGAGCTGCCCCGGGACGCCTGCTTGTGTCCGGAATGCCCAGAACGGCCTTCACTGTACAACTTTGACAACTCGGAGCACTGAGTCCTTTGTGCAATTCTTGCTCAATTTGCAGACTGTTGTGAAAGATTATAAAAACATCTTCATCCAAAAAATTGGCAGTAAAAATGACAACTTTTGCAAGGCAAGCCTGTCACAATTGTCACTTTGTGGTACTACGTTAAAAAAGTCCTCAGCAGGTTTGTTGACTGCAGCTGTTGGAAATCAAGTGGTTACTGGCATAGTGGAATTGATGCTCACTGAAACAACATAAGGAAGTGAACCAAAGCTGGAGTGAGGCGACCCTGATGCAGCTTTGCATGAGGACATCAGGGTCAGGGCAGGAGACGGTTTCCATAGGAAATAAGGGGACTAGAAGTGGTGACTTCACTCCTGATTTGGGGCTCCTGAGAGTGCAGTAGCCAGCGGTGATATTCCAACAGGTATCCTCGCTAGTGTTTCACAGTCCCACACAATCTTTATGTGATGAGGGGTGTGGACAGAAGGTGAGGGTTGGAGGAGGGACAAGGTAGGATATGAGATATTCAAAATACATCACATTCAAAACTGCAAAAACACCAGAACCGCATCAGATGTGCTGCTTGCCTACATCTGTTTCTCTGGCCCTTCCACTCTCTTGTGTCGGACAGAAGCTGTCAGCAGCCTGTGCTAAGTTACGGAAGTACAAACCAGTCTGAGCAGACAGGAGCTTCCACAGCTGAACAGGCGAGTGAAGAAGGGTTACCAGAGTGCACAGCAGCGGAGCTGTCTGCCTGGCACACGTTCCCACAAATCCAGAAGCAATCAAAAAGGCACTTTGGGGCCGGCTGCGCCTCTTTGACTTGCAAGTCCAACAGTGCTAACCTGGCACTTCCGAAGGCTGCCCTAGTTCTGCACGTGGTGAGCTGAAAATGAGGCAGAACTTGTAACTAGAGGCAAAACAGGGACAAAAAGGATGACCAGTTCAAAACACAGAATGTTCCAAATACAGGAGCGTTGGTGTGACCTGACCCCTGCCCCAGAAGGAGCTGGTGCCTAACCTGAAACGAGAGGGATGTTAGGTGGGAACTGCAGCTCTACGGGTGATGTTTGCTTCTCTCCAGTGACTTCTGGGAACATTTTCCACCCTGCTTTTTCAGTGCTGATGAGTCATGTTGAAGAGAAGCAGTCTTAAATCCCTTCTGTGCACTAAAAGGATCATGATACTCATAAAGCAGGGTCCCCCCGACACCCATTCAGATTCTTAATTTCATATGTGACCACTACCAAGGTCTTCAGAAATTATGTTTTCAGTCAAAGCAAATGATTGCAGATCACATGACTTAAGACTACAGTTTATTCAATATGTCTCCAAGCATTAAAAAGATAATTTTATGAAGTCAGACTCAATAAAATTGTATCTTAAAGTGCTTTTTATTTTGCTGTTTTTAAAATTTGGGAACCATTCGTAACTTCTTTAATGACTGATGTCAAAGATGCATCCTGCACTTCGGAAGAACACAGCTTTTTTTATTGCTCTTTTAAATCTTAATCATATCAGAAAAATACCTCGAAGAGCTTAATAATTTCCCAATTTTTGATCCTGGCAACATTTCGTCAGGGTTTAAGCTTATGCCCAGGGCTCACATCAGACTCATCAGAAATTCTATACAAAGAGGGAGACATATTAAATACAAAGGTCTGTGTAAACTGAATTCTTTAACTACTATTTTACAACGAAAAAGAATTTTACCACATTATCTTTACATCATTTAAATTGGATATTCCTACTCAAATGTTACTGCAAGATTAAAAATTTGCCCCCACAAACCTAAAGGCAGCTCTTTTTTTTCCTTTCTTAAAATATAAAAAGCAAAAGGAATTTTTTTTTGTTGTATCATGGAGAAAGCAACAGCTTTACCCTCACTCTTGTATGTTCATGTAACAAAAATCTGCCGCTAGCTTTATTTCCTAAAATCTCCACAGAAACGTCCACCCAAGTGTGGGCGGTGACCGGAGAGCTGGCCCATACTGGCTTCCTCCCAGCCTCCTCGTGGACGAGGCAGCTTCCTTGAGGACGTGGCCCCCAGAGTCCTGCAGCCTCCTGGCCTGTCCCCAGGCTCTGCCAAGGGTTTCAAAGATGAGATTCTGTTTTCAGAAGTTGCTGACATCCGGTCTCGTCAGGTGCTGGCTACATCCCTCTATGGATCGACGTCATCAAGGTCACTTCTTAGCTCACCAATCATCATGGGAGATTCTGAACCCTGTGGAAGAGAACAGCAAGTGAAAATCAGCAGTTAGTGTGTGCGGGATTTTCTGTACTCACTTCCTTGTTTATGTTCTGTAATTTAAGTCCTCATCTAGCAACTTGTTTACTCAAGGACACTAAAACGCAGGGGTATTATACCTTCTGTTTGACATTCTGTGATTCTGCAGAGCACTCTCATGTCTATGTCAGTCACTGAGGCAACCCAGGGGTGCCACTGTTCTCTTCTGTACCCACAGGCAGGCTCTTCTCAGAACTGAGGAGCAGTGGGACAAAGCAGAGGGAAACCAGCTGTCACTGCCACCTGCTCCATTCTGGGCACTTCACCTGCAGGTGTGCTCTGGGTCATTCTTGGGCCTGCATCCTGCCTTTGTCACCAGTGGCGTGGCCTTTGGTTTATGCACTCAACAGTTCTGAAGACCTGGCACATCCCCTGGGACTGATCTGAGTGGCAGTGGCATGGGAGAAGGGGACAAACTCTGTGGAGGTGACATGGAGGAGTTAGATGGAGTGAAGGGGAAAGGCCGGAGAAGGAAGAGCATGGTGTATTTGATAAACTAAAACCAGCAACTGCTGCGGGGAAGTGGTGCAGGGGACAAGTCAAGCAAGACTGCGGAGGGTTCTGGCTTTTATCTAGCAGAAAAGGAAAGCTATGACAGGCTCTGCAAGTGGACCAGACGGCAGCCAGAGTGGTGGCAGGTGTTTCTCACAAGGATCCAGACTGAGGTGCTCGGGACATACAGAGACAGGCGAACGCTGTGTAAAACATCTGTGGACCTATGTGTGCGTGGAGCCGGCTAGGATGACCCCTGGGCACCCTGGCTTGTGCTGGTACACAGGGTGCCGAGGCAGGCAAGGATGGCTTGGGTTTGGGGTGTGAGGTGTCTCCCACTGTTGCAGGCAGAGCTGTCTGGAACAAGAGCTGGATGTGTGTATTGTTGTTTTTGCTTTATTTATTTTAAATTTTTCTTTTTTTCCTTTTTTTTTTTTTTTT